GTGACAATGACGGTCCATCGTGGGGTACTTAGAAAAAAGTATGGAGACCCTTAGAAGAGAGGTCTCTGACCATCACGACGGTTGTGCAGGACGGATGGTCAACGGTATGATGTTCCATCATAGATGTCCGTTAGAGGATAGTTGGAAAAAAAATGGAGAACCTTAGGAGATGGGTCTCTGACCGTCATGACGGTTGTGCAAGACGAATCGTCGAGGGTGTGAAGGTCCGTCGTAGATGTCCATAAGAGGACAATTAGAAAAAGGTAGGAGACCCTTAGTAATAGGGTCTCTGACAACCATAACGATTGTGCAGGATCAACTGTCGTAGGAATGACAGTCCGTCACATGTGTCCGCTGGTGGACACTTGGAGAAAATTGGACAACGAGGTGTTGGGGGTGTTGGAACGGACCCTATGACGGTCCGTCATTGGGGTATCGCTCTGTCATTCAGTGATAAAACTGGGGATGCCACATTCATCCTGTGTGACTCACATGGAATACTTAGTGGTAACCTATATGTTTCTAACCCAAATACCTAGTAAACTAGCAATTCTAAAGCACCTACTTCTAGAGTTTTAACAAGGCAATTTGAGGATTCTCAACCTAGGTAAGACAAAATTGGATCAAAGAATGAAGACCCATTAATAAGAAATAGGATAATACTAATTGATAAAAAAAATTCAATGTAAATGGGTTGAAATCAGAGACACATACCTGAGAACGGGAGAAAGACAAGCTAGTGAGGCACTTGGTTAGCAAGAACAGAACCACAACACCAGCTTCGACTAGTAGAGGGTAGATTTTAGGAATTTGGGGAATTGGGGAAGTTATCAGTTGATAGATAATAGAGGTAGGAAGTTGGAAGTTGAAAAGGGAGGAAAATGGGAGAAAGAGGGAAGGAAATGGGTTAAATGAAGGGGTGGGTTTTTTAAGTGTTACCAATTTTTCAAATAACCCCAACCGAGTTGGGTCGGGTACGCTCATTAATGATGTAACGAGTCCCCGACGATGGTCTGTTGCACCTGCAATTTTCCATCATGGGTTCTGTCACGTGTTCCCTAGTTTTGAGAATAACTGAAAGACATACCTAGCACGACGCATACATGCGACTCTCCGTCGATGTGTCCATCAGTAATTGTTGCAGAGTGATTTTCTACAGAATTTCCTGGTGATGTGCCTGCAAAATTAAAACCCATTAGTAGAAAATGCTACCATTACTAGAAAGAAAAACTATAAGCATTAGGTTGCCTCCCAACCAACGCTTGATTTAATGTTGTGACACGATTTAGGACACTTGATTACTTAGCCTTCATCAAGATGGTGTGCCTCGATCATTTTATTCGTTGATTTAGCATGCCAAGAATAGAGTTTTATTCGTCGTCCATTCACCTTAAACCGCACAACCTCCTTGGTTTCCAACTCAACTTCTCCATGAGAAAATAGTTGGGTAATCAAGTAAGGGCCATTCCATTTTTAATTGAGCTTGCCCGAAAACCAACGGAACCTAGAATTGTATAAAAGCACCAAGTCCCCAACCATAACTCTCATTTTTCAGTTATTAGGTCATGGTGCTGCTTCATCTTTTCTTTGTAGGATATGGCAGATACCAATTGGAGATCACCACTCTGCCTCATGGACCTACGGATGTTGAAAGTTGCTTCTTCATTGTTCAACCAAAATTTCATCTACCCCTTTTCCATATCAACTAAGGCTCTACCCGTAGCAAGGAATGGTCTCCCAAGAATAATAGGCACTTCAAAATTAACTTCACAATCAAGAATAACAAAATCTGCTGGAATTATGAACGACTCCACTTTTACTAGCATAGAGTGGAGTATCGCTATAGGCCTTTTCACTCTTTGGTCAGCCATCAGTAGTCGCATCCCAGTGGGCTTTGGGTGACCCAAACTCAACTTCTTGTAAATCGAGAGGGGCATGAGATTTACTCTTGCCCTAAGATTACATAATGCTTTCGCAAAATGTAATGACGCGACTATACAAGGAATAGTGAACGCACCCGGATCTTCTTTCTTTAGTACGAGAGATCTTGTAGCAATAGCACTATCATCCTCAAAAGTGACCAATCTTTTCTTTGTAACCAGATCTTACATAAACTTGGCATAACCAGACATATGTTCTAGAGCTTCTACAAAAGAGACATTGATAGAAAGCTGCTTCAATATTGTTATAAAACGCTGATATTTACCATCCTCGGTCTTTTTCACTAATCTTTGAGGAAAGAGGGGTTGTGGTCTAGGCATGGGAATTACCTTTTTAGGTACTTCAACATCTTTTCCAGTGTTATCTTCTACTTCACCATTAACCTCTACCACTTTATCATTATCTTTTGTCACCTTTTTCTCATTAGACGACATAGGTGGATCAATGGTTTACTTACCACCGTGAGTAGTGATTACCATACAATGTCTATCATTTTTCAGATTTTGGACAATGTTGCTAGGAAGAGTGCTTGGTTGCCGTTTGCTCACAATCGCAGATAATTGGGCCATTTACACATTAATATGCCTAATCGATATAGCATGTGTATCGACTTTCTGCCAAATACCCGCTAAATCACTCCTTAACTCTTTAATGTGCTCATCACTAGCATCAAACCTCCTCATCATTTTGTGCAACATATCCTCAACTCGCGCCATACTATCTCCACCATCCATAGGAGTAACTTTACAATTTTGAGGAGGGACATAGGGCCCATTCCTATCATTTTTGTTCCATAGTTTCCCATGTTTAAGTTGTTGTCGCGGTTGTAGTTTCCATCTCGGATATAATGACCCTCCTGGTTATCGTACCATAGATCCGACCTTGGTTTCCTTGACCTTGGTGCCAATTCTCCTGATTTGCGCCTTGGGCACTCGGTTGGAAACCCCCCAGCTGTTCATTTACCGCATAGGAATTCTTCTCATAATAGCATTCATCATTTGGTGGTGGTAGTTTAGACAAGTAGTTAACTGCATTTATCTTTTCTGCACCACCAGTGATATGTTTTAATATCAACCCAAGCTCAGTTCTCATCTGAGCCATCTCTTCACGAATCTTATCTGTGGCTGGGTTGTGAGTGGATTGCACGGCGAAGGTATTTCTCCCTGTATCTGACTTCCTAGTAACTCATGCTTTATTGTTTTGGGAGATTTTCTCTAATTTTTCTGCAATCTCAGCATAAGGACACTCCCCATAAGAACCACTCGCTATAGTATCCAACACCGCCTTATTATTATCATCTTTTCCCTGATAGAAATATTCCTTTAGTGACTAATCATCTATGAGGTGATTGGAGACGCTTCTCAAAAAAGAGGTGAATCTATACTAAAAAACTACCAACTGACTCTCCTGGTAGTGCGACAAAGTTGTTCACTCTGTCTTTGTGGTTTAGTTTCTTGGAGACTGGGTAGTAGCGTGCTAAGAAAACGTCCCTTAGTTGGTTCCAAATGAAAATTGAGTTATAAAGGCGTTCATTGAATAATATAGCAGCCTCTCCCGTCAGTGAGAGAGGAAATACTCATATCCCTACTACATCCAAATCCAAATCAGGTCTCATTACACAACTTTTAAACATTGCCCTTACCTTAGCTATATGGGCATGTGGGTCCTCAGAAGGTAGCCCTGAAAACAAACCTCTGGCAGTGAACATTTGCATTAGATACTAGTTACCAAAAAGGTGTGGCCTGGTGGTAGAGGGGGGCAAGACAAGTGGCCAATCAAAGTCTGCTATATTATCATAGCCTCTGTAGTATTCTTAAGGGGTGGAGCGGGATTCTATCCCCTTTGTTGATTTTCACCTGGATCTTCGGGTAATAATTGATCATGAACATCAACCGGAGCTGGGACGTTTTGGTTTGGATCATCATCATTAATACCCAAGTTTTGATTAATGTTGCATAGTGTACACTCTAATTCGTGATCGGAGGAAAAAAAGGGCTCTCTTCCTCTTCGTGTAGTTGGCAAACAAGGAAGATAGTTCTGCAAGAATCAAAAAGAATAAACAAAGTAGAATTAAGAAAATATCGACTAAACTATAGTAATAAGTTTAAGTTAATCTAAAAGCTATTTTTCCCAGCAGTGGCGCCAAAATTTGATAATGCTCAAACTTACTTCTCAAATAAGAAGTAAAGCGGTCGTATGAAGTAAACAACCCAACTAATGAGGCTGGAATCGTTTCTACGAGGAAAATAGTTCCGACTTAACTTCAATCTATTATTACTATTATTTAGTCAATTATTCCCTTAGAAAACAAAAGACAATAAAAGGGTTTTTTTATTTCAAAATTAATGAAAATAACGAACTAAATTAAAGTAACCAAGTAACAGAATCAAATCTTGGAGTTTAATCAATTAATAAAAGTAACTAGGGTTTAAGTGTTCCCCACAGGTTTCTAACTTGATAATTCTAACTATAACAATTATTTTCTAGTACCTTGCATGCAAAGTGATAAGTTATGTATTTCTAAATCCTTAGTCCGGCATATCGAAAATTTCACTCTGCACCTTGGTCCGGATACGAGTGTTGCTATACTAACCCTTACCTTTACCTCATATTAAGCATCGTATTCGATATTAGACTAAGTAACTAACTTGTGCCAATCAATACTAGCCTGTTAGATAGTATACACTAAATCTATGCTTGATAATTCTTTTCCTATTATCTACCTCCTTGGTTCAGCAATTAGCATTAAGGCGAGCTCTAACGTTGGCCATCTGTTAAAAAGACTTCTAAGCGAAAGAATTATCAATACATGTAAGACACTATTCTAGAATTGTTATTTTAGTTATGTTTTACCTCACATTATTCGCCTATGGTTCCCACAACCCTAGTTATGGAGTTTAGTTACCCATAGTCATAATCACAGTATTCCTATATAAAATATAAGAATTCATGCACTTACTTCAATGAGAAAAAATAAAATCCAGGAGTTCATTTGATTAATCAACAAACGCACCAACAATCAGTTGCAGAAAAAGTGGATCAATTACTGAAATTAATCGAAGACTAAAAATTCTTTAAAATTATATCAATCACAAAGTCTACTAACAAAGAGTATAACAAAAGAGAATCTCACAACTATAAGAGAGTCCAACGATAAGAGAGTTTAACCATAAGAGAGTCTAACCCCAAAAACGAGGTTTTTTCAAACTATTTATAAAAAAAACCTTATAAAAGAAAGACTCTAATTGCTGAAAATCTTTCAAAACACGGCTTGATCGACGAGCCTAGTGATGGGCCGTCATGGTCAGGACGAGCCGTCATGGACTCCGTCGTCCTATACTTTAAAGATCCTTCAGCTGCTTTCTTCATTACCCTCGCCGAACAGGTATGACGAACCGTTTAAGGCACGAAAATTCGTCGAGGGTCTCCATTCCATAACATGTATACTTCTTGGAAATTCGGTACTGGGATTACTCTTTGATCATCATGACGAACCAGCAGGATGGACTGTCATGGCTACGACAGTCCATCATGAACTTCGTAATCCCACACTTGGTCAGACTTCCCCATCTTACTTCAACATCTTCACTATGATGCCACGTACGCACCATCACAGGCACGACGAACTGTCACAGGCTATGTAGGTGGTAACTTTTCTGCATTTCTTGCTCAAAAACTTCCGCGTTCATCTTTAGACAGATTCCTGCAAATAAAGAGAAACTTACATAAAAATCAATACAAAAAGGCTTTTGGACACACACTAAACTTAAGGAAAAAACATTAAAAATACTTTGAAACCTTGGTATATCACTACACATATTATCATTATAAAATTAACATCATTACATAATAACTACATATATTATCATTATAAAACTAGATTAAAAAAATAAGAACAGACTTGGACAATAACTTTACTTAAGGATGAAATAAACGATGCGTTATTTAGTATGAAATAAACTACGGTTTTTTATAGCAACTTCACACTAAATATAACTATATAAAGGATCTAAACATAAAGTTAATATAAAATATTTGAACATACTTCATATAAAAACATAATGGTTTAACCATACGTGAAATTTGACAACCTCAATATATTGCAATCAATGCTTGTATAATCATGATATTAAATCATACAATTAAAATTAAATGGTACCTTTTGCGAAAATTCCACCAAAAGAAAACAATTTGAATAAGGAACCATGAACTCGAAACCACGAAAGTAAACCTCAACTTCAACTTTTGTTTGTGAGTCAAAGCAAAATATGAAATAAAATGTGAATATATTTGTTGATTTTTTGTTTGTGGGTGATTTTCTTCCTTTTTGTGTATATGTTTTCCCATGTTTTTCCTGCTTGTCTATATGTATAGTGATTAGGTGTTTAGTAGTGTGTACGTGTGTATAGGTTGGGTGTGTAGTGTGAGTGGAGAGTATGAGAGTGGGGTCATGGGGTGCTGGGGTGTATGGGAGTGGGGTAGTGGTAGTTTAGGCTGTTTATAAATTAAATATATATAACATTATAATTATAAAAGTATTATTCGTTTTGAATTAAAAAAAATAATGATACTAAATGGCTAAAAATATATAATTAAGAAATGATTATTTAGATTTATAAAAAAAATTTATGCTCTAAAAAATTGGTGTTAAACTTAAATTCGGTCAAAAGCTATGTGTCTACAATGACCGTAGAATATCTAAAAAAATAGCACAACAAAGTATCACTGTTAATAGAATATTATGTAAATGCCCCAAAATGTCTGAAAATCAACAAACAGACAAAAAAAACAAAAAAAAAACATAACTTGCTCAATTACCATAGAATATCGTAAGAAATAATAGAAAAAAAGTTTAGTTCTCGATGTAACAACCTCAAATGGTCAAATATTAGGTCAACGCCCCAAATTGCTGAAAAATTAAGAAACACACATAAATAATACAAAAAATAACTCAAAAATATTTTGACTTACACCAATGACCATAGAATATCATGATGAAAGACAACAAACTGAACTTCATTTCGTCACTGCCCGAATATTGCTGCATATTACTTAAATCCCCCTAAAATGACCGAAAGTTCAAAAATCGCACATAAACTAGACAAAAAACACATCAAAAAATTTCAAATTGCACCATTGACCATAGAATATCATGAATGATAAGATAAAAATAACCTTATTTCATTTTTTAACTGCTTGAAAATGGTTGGATATTACGTAAATGCCTTGAAAAATCAGGAAACACAAATAGACATTATAAAAACACCTCAAAAAAATTATGACTTGTACAATTGACCTTAGAATATTGTTCAGGAATGAGATTACTTCTTTTTGAAAGTGCCTGAAAAAAATCAATATTATGTAAATCCCCCAAAATGACCGATAAATTAGGAATCACGCAAACACTACAAATAAAACCTCAAAAAAAATATGACTAACATTAATGACCTTAGAATAATGTGACGAATAAGAGAACAACACTGTACTTCTTTTGTAACTGTCCAAAAGGGCTTAATATTTCGTGAATACCCAGAATACTAGGAAAAGAGATAAATAATACAAAAACCGCTCACAAAAATTTCGACTTGCACCAATGACATTTGAATATAGTGATGAATTAGCAAAAAAAAAATTCTTTTCATAACTGCGCGAAAATAGCTGAATATTACGTAAATACCCCAAATTTCAAAAATCACACATAAACAATGCAAAAACACTTTTAAAAAATTTGACTTGTACTAATGACTTTAGAATTTTGTGCCGAATAAGAGAACAAAATTTCACTTCTTTCCTAAGAAAATAATAATGGTCAAATATTACGTGAACTCCTAGAATTGCCGAAAAATCAAGAAACATGCATATACAATACAAAAAATGTCTAAAAACATTCTACTTACACCAATAACGTTAGAATATCGTGACAAATAACAGAACAAAATTAACATCTTTAATAACTGCTAAAATATTCCTCAATTGTGTTTTGACATGCACCAATGACCTTAGAATAACGTGAAAAATAATTGAATCAAATTTTACTTCTCTTCGTGACTGCCAAAAAATGGCCGATTATGTAAATGCCAAGATGATCAAAAAATTATGAAACACACGTAGACATCAACAAAAGCACCTCAAAATTTTTGGACGTGCACCAATGATCCTAGAATATAGTGATGATTAACATCACAAAACTTTTTTTATTTTTATAACTGCTAAAAAATGGCCGAATAATACGTAAATGCCACAAAATGGCTAAAAATCAAGAAACACACATTAACTATACGAAATAACATCTAAAAAATATCGACTTGCACTAATGACCTTAGAATATCGTGATAAAGAACAAAACAAAATTTTATTTCTTTTCATAACTATCCAAAAATAAAAAAATATTACACAAATGCCCAAAAATAATCGAAAAATCAAAACACACACATAAACAATCAAAAAACATCCTCAAGATAATTTTGAATGGCACCAAAGACATTAAAATTTCATGACAAATAAAGATAAAACTTCAATTCTTTTCTTAATTACTCGAAAATGGCCAAATATTGTGTAAATTCCACAGAACAATCGACAAATAAAAAAACATAAACAATACAAAATGATCTCAAAAAATATTTCACTTGCACGAATAACCTTAATATAGTACGACGAATAAAAAATAAAACTTTACTTCTTTTCGTAAAAGACCGTAAATGGCTTAATATTATCTAAATATTTAAAATGACCAAAAAATCTAGAAACACACATAAATAGTACTAAAAGTGACTCAAAATTATTTTGACTTGCACGAATGACCTTAAGAATATCATGACGAATAACAGAATAAAACTTCACGTACTTTCATAACTGCTCGAAAATTGCTCAGTACTACCGCATTGCCCCAAAATGATCGAAACTCAAGAAACATATATAAACAATACAAAATAATTTCAACTTGCACCAATGACCTTAGTATATTGTGACGAATATGAGAATAATACATTAATTCTTTTCATAATTGTCCATAAGGTGCAAAATATTATGTAAATGTGTAAAGTGGTCGAAAAATAAAGAAACAGACATAAACAATAGAAGAAACACCTCAATTTTTTTTGACTTTCACTAAGGACCTTAGAATCTTGTGAAAAATAAGAGAACAAAACTTAAATTTTTTATGTAACAGCTAGAAAAATGGCCGGTTATTACGTAAATACCCCAAAATGACCGAAAATCAAGAAACACACAAACAATACAAAAATCACCGCTAAATGTTTTTTATTTGCACCAATAATCTTAAAATATTGAGATAAATAAGAAAATAAAACTTCAATTTTTTTCATAACAAACTGAAAATAGCTGAATATTACGTGAATGCTCCACAATGGTTGAAAAAAAAGACATGAACAGTGTGAAAATTGCCTCAAAATTATTTCAACTTGAACAAATGACCTTAGAATGTTGTGACGAAACCAAACATTACTTCTTTTTAAAACTGTTTGAAAATGACCGGATATTACTTAAATAACCTAAAATTGCCAAAAAAAAATTCAAGAGATACATATAACCATTACAAAAAAGTGTAAAATGTTTTTTGACTTGCATTAAAGACCTTAGAATATCGTGATAAATAAGAGAACAAATCTTTATTTCTTTTGGTAAATGCCTGAAAATGGCAGAATATAACATAAATGCCCAAAATGGGCGAAAAAACAAGAAACACACATAAATAATACAACTATTTCCCATTTTTTACTTGCACAAATGTAGACCTTAGAATATCATAACAAATAAGAGAACAAAACTTTACTTATTTCCGTGAGTGCCCAAAATGACCGCATACTATGTTAATGCCTTGAAAAGACCAAAAATCAAGAAACGCACATAAACTCAAAAAAGGCTCAAAAAATTATGATTTTCACCAATTACCCTAAAATATCTTGCTGAATAAGAGAAAAAAACTTTACTTCTTTTCGTAACTGCTCGTAAATGGACAAATATTGCGTAAGTGCCCCAAAATTGACTAAAAATTAATAAATACACATAATAATACAAAAAATCACCTCAAATTATTTTTACATACACTAATGACCTTATAATTTGTGACGAATAACAGCATAAGACTTCACTTCTTCTCGTAACTACCCAAAAATTATCGAATATTACATATATGTCCAAAATGATGGAGAATTAAGAAACACACATAAATAACACAAAAAATACCTCATAATTTTTTTGGCTTGATCGAATAACCTTCGAATGTCGGGCCTAATAAGTGAATAAAATTGTACTTCTTTTTGTAACTGTCCAAAAAGGGCCGAATATTACTTAAATACCCAAAAATGATTGAAATATCAAGAAACACACATAAACAATAAAAAAATGCCTTAATAAAATTTCAACTTCAGAATATCACACACATAAATAATACAAGAAATTAAATGCCTAATAAATTTTGGACTTGTACCAATGGCCTTAGAAAATCGTGTAAAATAGGAGAAAGAAATGTTACTTCTTTTAATAAATGCCCAAAAATTGCCTAATATAAGTGAATGCCTGAATTGGACGAAAAATAAAAAAATACATAAAAGATTCTCAAAAAAATTGTTTTACACCAGTGACCTTAGAATATCGTAACAATAAGAGGAAAACTTTACTTTTTTTTGTAACTTCCCTAGAATGGAAAAATACTACACAAATGTCCCCAAAATGGCCTAAATACACAAAGCACACATGAACAATACAAAATGTCTCATACATTGATACTTGGATCAATGATCTTAGAATATCTTGACGAATAAGAGAATAAAACTTCAATTCTTTTCTGAAATGGCTGCAAATTATGTATATGACCCATAATGAACGGGAAAAAAACACAAAAAATATAAAAAATATCTTAATTTTTTTACTTGCAGAAATAACCTTAGAATATCATGACTAACAAGAAAACTAAGCATTTATTCTTTTCGTAACTGCCCAAAAATTATCGATTACGTTGATGTCCAAAATGGCTTAAAAATTAAGTAACACACATGAAAAATACAGTAAAACTCCTTCAAAAACTTCAACTTTCACAAATGACTTTTGAATAAGAACAAAACTTTACTTCTTTTCGTAACAACTCAAAAATTACTGAATATTAGATAAAATTCCCTAAAATGGGCCAAAAAATTTACGAAATACACATAAACAATATGCACCAATGGCCTTAGAATATCTTGAGAAATAAGAAAACAAAACTTTACTTCTTTTCTTTACTACCCGAAAATACTTGAATATTAAGTAAATACTCCAAAATAGCTAAAAATCAAGAAACAAACATAAACAATACAAAAATGCCTCAAAAAATTTTGAGTTGCACTAATGACCTTATAATATTGTGAATAATATGAGATAATACTTTTTATTTTATTTAGTAACTGCCTTATATGATCGATATTATGTAAATTCCCCCAAAATGGCAGAAACATTAAGAAACACATAGAAACTATACAAAAAATTCCTCAAAAAGAATCCTACTTGCAACAATGACCTTAGAATATCATGACGAATAGAAGAAATTTTTTTACTTCTTTTGGTAACTACCCGAAAATGACCGAATATTAAGTCAATGTTGTAAAATGACCAAAAAATCAATAAATACACAAATAATAGGAAGACACCTAAAATAAATTTTGACTTGCACCATTGACAATATAATATCGTGAAGAATAAGAGAACAAGAAATTCCTTCTCTTTGTAATTGCCCAAGAATTGCCTAATATTCTGTTCATGCCCAAAATGGCCGAAAAATAAGTAACACTCGTAAAAAATCAAAAAAAATGCCTAAAAAGTTTCGACAGGCACCAATGACTTTAAAATATCGTGATGAATGATATACCGTGATTTTACGGTATTTTTAGTGTTTTTTCCTTAAGTTTAGTGTGTGTCCAAAAGCCTTTTTGTATTGAATTTTATGTAAGTTTCTCTTTATTTCTAGGAAATCTGTCCAAAGATGAACGCGAAAGGTTTTGAGCAAGAAATGCAGAAAAGTTACTACCTACATAGCTTATGACGGTCCGTCGAGCGACGGTCCGTAGGTGGCAACGTAGTGAAGCTGCTTAAGGAAGATGGGGAAGTCTGACCAAGTGTGAGATTACCAAATTTCATGACGGACAGTCAAAGCCTCGATGGTCCTTCGTGCTGGTTCGTCGTGATGATCAGAGAGTAGTCCTAGTATCCAATTTCCAAGAAGTTTAGGTATTCTGGAACGGAGACCCTCGATAGACCATCGTGCTTGGAACGGTCCGTAATACCTTCCATTGAGGTTAACGAAGCGAGCAGTAGAATAATTTGTAAAGTATGGGACGATGGAGGCCATGACCGCCCATCGTGACCACGATGGTCCGTCGACCTAGTCGCGTTTTGACAGATTTTCAGTAATTAGAGTCCTTCTTTTATTAGGTTTTTATTTTTTATAAATAGTTCAAAAAACCTCATTTTTAGGGTTAGACTTTTTGTTGTTAGACTCTTTGTTGGTTAAACTCATTGATCTTAGACTCTTGGATAATAGACTTTTTGATTGTTACACTTTTTCTTGAATTGATTGTTCGTGATTTGGTCTATTAATCAAGTGAATTTATGGATTTTATTCTTTCTCATCAAAGTAAGTGCATGAATTCTTATATTAAATATATGATTATTTTGATTATGAATATGGGTAACTAAACGACAACTAGTGTTTTGGTAACCATGGGTGAATAATGACGTAAAATCTTACTAAAATAACAATTCCAGAATAGTGTCTTGCATGTACTGATAATTCCTTCTTTTAGAAGTCTTTTTCACGGATGGCCAACGTTAGAATTCTCCTTAGTGCTACTTGCCGGACCAAGGAGGTAGATAATAGGAAAAGAATTATCAACATAGATTTAGTGTATACTATTTAATAGGGTATTATCGATTGGTACGAGGTAATAACTTAGTTAAATATCGAATACAATGCTTCATATGAGGTAAAGGTAAGGGTTAGTATAGCAACACACATAGCCGGACAAAGGTGCGGAGTGAAATTTTCAAGATGCCGGACCAAGATTTAAAAATACATCACTTATCACTTTGCATGCAAGATACAAGGAAAGAATTATTATAGTTAGAATTATCAAGTTATGAACCTGTGGGAATACTTAAACCCTAGTTACTTTTATTAATTGATTAAACTCTAAGATTTGATTCTGTTAGTTGGTTACTTTAACTTAGTTAGTTATTTTCATTAATTTGGAAATAAAAAAACTCCTTTTATTGTCTTTTGTTTTCTAAGAAAATAATTGACTAAATAATAGTGTAATAGATTAAAGTTAAGTCTGAACTACTTTCCTCGTGGGAACGATCCCAACCTCATTTGTTGGGTTCTTTACTTGATACGACCGCTTTACTTCTTTTCTTGAAAATAAGTTTGAGCGTATCAATGAATAGGAATACAGAACTTTACTTCTTTTCATAAATTGCCTGAAAATGACAAACTATTATATAAATGCCTTAAAATGGCCTAAAAAGCAATAAACGCACATAAATAAGACAAAAACGCCTCATACGAATTTTGACTTGTAACAATGACGTTAGAATACCGCGATGAATAAGAGAACATAATATGTTCTCTTTTTGTAATTGCCCAAAAATGGCAGACTATTACGTAAATGCCGCAAAATGCCCAAACTATCAAGAAACACATATAAAAATACTAAAATGCATCAATAGAATTTCGGCATGCACTAATGACCTTCGAATATCACAACAAATAATAGAACAAAATTTACTTCTTTTTGTAACTTCTCAAAAACGATAAAATTTACGTAAAATACCTAAAAATGGATAAAATAAATCAAGAAACACACATAACCAATAAAAAAATGCCTCAAAAAAATTTCGACATGCACCAATGACCTTATAATATCATGAATAATAAGAGAACAAAACTTTAGTTCTGTTCTTGTCTGTCTAAAAATGGCGAAATATTACGTAAAATGCCCCAACATTGCTGAAAAATTAAGAAACACACAAACAATATAAAAAATGCCTCAAGACTTTTTGACTTGCACCAATGGTCATAAAAAAGTGTGATGAATAAGAGATCAAAACGTTACTAATTTTCATTGCCCGAAAATTGACAAATATTACAAAATGTCCGAATCGACCGAAAAATAAAAAACACATATAAACTGTAAATAATATTATTGACTTGCACCAATGACTTTACAATATCATGACGAATAAGAGAACAAAACTTTACTTCTTTTGGTAACTTTCCCAAAATAGCCGAGTATTACGTATCTGCCCAAAGTGGTCTAAATATAAAAACACACATAAACAATACAAAAAATCTTTAAAAAATTTTCAACTTGCACGAATGACCTTAGAATATTGTGACAAATTAGAGAAAAAAACTTTACATCTTTAAGAAACTGCTCGAAAATGGTCCAATATTATGTCAATGCCTCAAAACGCCAAAAAATAAGAAACAAACATATATAATATATAAAAACGCCTCAAAAATTTGACTTACAACATTTACCTTAAAATATTTTGATGAATAAGAAAATAAAACATGACTTCTTTTTGTAACTATCTAAAAATGACAACTAAACCTAGAAATATCTAACATATCATGAAACACACATAAACAATACAAAAAAAAAGTCTCAAAACAATTTCGACATGCACCAATGACCTCAGAATATAATGATGAATAATACAATTAAATTTACTTCTTTTTGTAACTTACCAAAAATGGTGGAATGTACGTAAAATGCTTAGAAATGACTAAAAATCAAGAAATAGACATAAACAATACATAAAACGCCTCAAAAGAATTTCGACATGCACCAATGACCTTATAATATCATGAAGAATAAGAGAACAAAATATCCTTCTTCTAATAGCCTCTAGAAAATGACAAAATATTATGTAAAATGGCCCAAAATGGACAAGAAACAAAGAAACACACATAAACAACACAAGGAAATCCTCAATTCTTTTTTGTTTTGCTCCAATGACCTTTAAATTGTTATGAATAAGAGAACAAAACTTTACTTCTTTTCGTAGGTGTCCAACATTGGAAGAATATTACGTAAAATGCCCCCAAAATGGCCGAAAAATAGCGAAGCACACCTAGTGATACAAGAAACCACTCAAATTTTTTATTGACTTGCACCAATGACCTTTGAATATCGTGATGAAAAGGAGAGCAAAAATTTACTTCTTTTTGTAACTGCCTTAGAATTGCAGATAATTATTTTAATTCACAAAATTGCCAAAAAATTAAGAAACACACATGAACCTAAGACTTTAGAATATAGTAATAAATAAGAGAACAAAATTTTACTTCTTTTGGTAACTAACCGAAAATGGTCGAAAAAATAATTAAGGACATAAAAACAATACAAACAATGCCAAAATAAATAATTAGATTGCACCAATGACCTTAGAATATTGTTATGAATAAGAAAACAAAACATTATTTTTTCATAACTATTCAAAAATTGCTGAATACTACGTAAACGCCCGAAAAAATTTGAAAAATCAGGAATCTTACATAAACAATACAAAAATACCTGAAAGGAATTTTTTGTTGCACCAATAACCTTATGGTATGGTGAAGAATTATACAACAAAACTTTTCTTCTTTTCGTAACTCCATTAAAATGGACGAATATTACATAAATCCCTTATAATGATCGAAACATTAAGAAACACATGGGAACAATACAAAAATGCCTCAAGAAGATTTATACTTGCACCAATGTTCTTAGAATATCGTTAGGAAGAGAAAAAAACTTTACTTCTTTTCGTCACTGACGAAAATGGCCAAATATTACGTAAAATGTCCCCAAAATGGGTGAAAAAATCAAGAAATAGAAATGGACAATACAAAAAATGCCTCAAATAGTTTTTGACTTGCACCAATGACCATAAAATATCTTGATGAATAAGAGAACAAAATTTTACTTCTTTTTGTAACTACCCAAAAATTGCCAACTATTAGGTAAAACACCCCAAAATGGTTGAAAAATAAAAAAAATACATACAAACAATACATAAAAAGACTCATTTTTTTGACTTGCAACAATGACCGAATATTACGTTAATGCCTCAAAATGGCAAAAAAATCAACAACCAGGCATATACAATTAACAAAATGCCTCAATTTTTTTTAATGACACTTATGACCTAGAATATCGTGAAGAATAAGAGAACAAAATTCACTTCCTTTTATAACTTTCTAAATATGGCCAAATTATACGTAAATACACAAAAATGGTTTAAAAATCAAGCAACAACATAAATGATACAAAAAATGCCTCAAAAAATTGACTTTCACCAATGACCGTAGAATATCTTGATAAATAACAGAATAAAACTTTACTTATTTTTGTAACTGCCCAAAAATTACCGAATATTACGAAAAATACTTCAAACGTTTTTTGACTTGCAGTAATGACCTTTGAATATTATGCCCAATTACAGAACAAGATTTAACTTCTTTTTGTAACTTCCTGAAATTGGCCGAACATTACATAAATGCCCCAAAATTGTTGAATAACCAAGAACACACGGAAAAAAAGTACAAATAATGACTTCAACAATTATGACTCGCGCTAATACTTAGAAAATTTGCAAATAAGGGAACAAACTGTGCATTTTTTCTTAACTTCCCGCAAATGACTGAATATTATGTAAATTCCCCAAAATGGTCAAAAAATCAAGAAACACGCATAAACAATACGAAAAATGCCTCAGATTATTTTTAACCTACACGAATGACCTTAGAATAGTATGTCGACTAAGAGAACAAATTTCACGACCCGAGGTTACCCCTTAAGAGTAATATGGCGTAATTGACTCAAAAGGGGTTGCTTCCACGTCCTTATCATTTTCATTACATGAAAACAGAGAAAAATACAGAAAAATTAAAAACTATTACTAGAAGTCAACTTTTTTCATA